TTGTCAAGCACAAAACCTACAACAACTAGGCTCACCTATGTGCACCAACAACTTATGCTAAGCAAGGTAAGCAACAAAGTGATAGCAAGATATATGACAAATAACAATATGGCTATCACAAAGTAAAGTGCATAAGTAAAGGGCTCGGGTAAGAGATAACCGAGGCACGAGGAGACGATGATGTATCCCGAAGTTCACACCCTTGCGGATGCTAATCTCCGTTTGGAGCGGTGTGGAGGCACAATGCTCCCCAAGAAGCCACTAGGGCCACCGTAATCTCCTCACGCCCTCGCACAATGCAAGATGCCGTGATTCCACTAAGGGACCCTTGAGGGCGGTCACCGAACCCGTACAAATGGCGACCCTTGGGGGCGGTCACCGAACCCGTACACTTTGGCAACCCTTGGAGGCGGTCACCGGTACCCGTCAAATTGCTCGGGGCGATCTCCACAACCTAATTGGAGACCCCGACGCTTGCCCGGAGCTTTACACCATAATGATTGAGCTCCGAACACCACCAACCGACTAGGGGGCCCAAGCACCCAAGATAAACAAGCTCAAGGGCACCAAGCACCCAAGAGTAATAAGCTTCTCAACTTGTAACTTCCACGTATCACGTGGAGAACTCAAACCGATGCACCAAATGCAATGGCAAGGGCACACGGAGTGCCCAAGTCCTTCTCTCTCAAATCCCACCGAAGCAACTAATGCTAGGGAGGAAAATGAGAGGAAGAACAAGAAGGAGAACACCAAGAACTCCAAGAACTAGATCCAAGGGGCTCCCCTCACATAGAGGAGAAAGTGATTGGTGGAAATGTGGATCTAGATCTCCTCTCTCTTTTCCCTCAAAAACTAGCAAGAATCCATGGAGGGATTGAGAGTTAGCAAGCTCGAAGAAGGTCAACAATGGGGGAAGAACACGAGCTCAAAGGATAAGGTTGAATGGGGAAGAAGACCCCCTTTTATAGGAGCTCCCGAATCCAACCGTTATGCTCACAGCCCGCACAGAGCGGTACTACCGCTCCAAGGAGCGGTACTACCGCTAGGGCGGTAGAACCCCTTCGAAACACAACAGCGAGGAGGCAAAAAGGCCAAAAGAACCTTCGGAGCGGTAGTACCGCTCGACCTCACGGTACTACCGCAAATGGTAGCGGTACTACTGCTTGCGAGCGGTACTAAAAAAAATACTTCTGTGCCTACTTCCGCTGAGCAAAACACGAGATTTTGGTCCGGAGCGGTACTACCGCTTAGGAGCCGCGGTAGTACTGCTCTGGTGCGGTACTACCGCTCAGGAGCCGCGGTAGTACCGCTCTGGAGCGGTAGTAAAAAATTACATCCGCTCTAGTCGCGGTAGTACCGCTGCAGCCTTTACCAAAACAACCACAACTTTTGCATCCGGACTCCGAATTCGACGAAACCAAGTTTGTTGGAAAGCTAGCGACAAGGGCAAACACAATCTTGATAGAAATATCAAGAATAAGCAAATGAGAAAAGGCCCAAAAGAAAATGGTGAGAACCCTTCCTCGGATAAGACCGGTAAAACCTCCAACACCGAAAACATCATAGAAGACGTATGCAAACTCCGTTTTCGATGAACTCAAGCTTGTCATCAAGATGACCAAAAGCTCCAAATCTCACAAGGAGAAGAACCAAACAAGAACCAATAAAGATGATGCAAGGATGCAATGGTTTGAGCTCTCTACGAACGATACGATCAAGCAACTCATCGAGAGCCCCCTTTGATAGTACGGCAATCGATCCTATAAATCGGTCTCCCACAACTACCATGAGACCGGTAAAATAGAAAACCTATCAAGGGCAAACCTTTGCCTTGCACAAAATCCACTTGAGCTAGATGATGACGATCTACTCCTCCTCAAGATGGACCACCTTTCTTGATTGCGTTGGCTCGATGAAGACTAGTTGATTGCTCCCCCATACTCCACTATGGATGAGCCACTCTTCCGCTCATCTTCACAAGTCCATTGTCACCATAATGGACGGCAAGCTTCAAGCACTTGATCTCTTCGTGATACATCACTTGAACTTGCACACCTAACCTAACCCCACAAAGAACTCTCACGAAGACCATGGGTTAGCACACAAAGCGTAATGGACAATGCTTACCACACCATGGGATCACTTGATCCCTCGGTACATCTTGTGCGCTTTGTGTGTTGAATCTTTCCAACTCTCTTCATTTGGATGATGTCTTGAAGGTGGACATGAATGATCACACAATCTTATTCTTCAAGACATGCTTGCAATAAGCTCAACACTCACATGACCAATCTTTGGATAATTCCTTAATAACACCTTGGTCAACTCATAAACTCCTTGAAACCAACACATGGACTTCAAGAAAAGCCTATGGACAAAACCTTCAGATATAACTCAAGGCAACCATTAGTCCATAGAGATTGCCATCAATTACCAAAACCAAACATGGGGGCACCGCATGTTCTTTCAAGGCTGGTGCCCCAGTCCCAACTACCGCGGCAAAAAACCCCATCTACGGGCCACCCTCGACGCTCTCGATGCCTCCTTCAACACCACCGCCTTCAAACACTACCCCGGCTCCGAGTGCTCCACCTGCGGTTCCATCCCGATGTCCTCCGCATGATCCATGGACGGGGCTTGTCTAGGCATGGCCTATGCCCTGGTCTGTCCCGTCCCCCCTTGGCGCTCCACCTGCCTACACCGGTCCTTAGCAACCCGGCCTTCGTCCGCATACTGGTGCCCCTGGGTTGCTTACCCCGCGACAGCCGGCGAACGCATATCATGCCGCTCCATCATATGCTCCTTACGGTGCTTCCTCGCCCTCTCCTACTGATGGAAGTCTCTACTACATGCCCTCGTCGGCTCTCCTGCCTTCACCGGCATATCAGCCGGCACTGCTGCCCACACCAACCTCACCTACATAGCTGAGCTGGGATCAAACTGCCTTTCTCCAAGCCATGAACAACTTTGCTGCCCAAGGAAAGTCAGGTATGGATTGGATTTTTGATTCTGGTGCCTCTAGTCATATGTCTGCATCAAGTAAATTCCTTTCTTCTGGCACTCCTTCCCCGCTTCCTTCCATTACTCTTGGTGATGGTTCATCTATTCCCATATACTGTGTAGGTCGGGCTCAACTTCCCTCTCCCACTAAACCAGTTCTTCTTCGAGATGTTCTTGTTGCACCCTCTCTTATTAAAAACCTAATTTATGTTCGCCAATTTACTCGTGACAATCTAGTTTCTGTTGAGTTTGACCCTTTTGGGTTGTCTGTCAAGGATTACCAGACCAAGGAGGAGATCGCCCGCTTTAATAGCTCCGGTGAACTCTATCTCTTCATGGTGGCCCTTCCGCTGCTCCTCCTACATCCATGGTGGCCTACGTCGACCTTTGGCATCATCGTTCGTGTCATCCCAACCCTGCTGTTTTAGCATCTATGCTTAGTGAATTTTTCATACCATGTAATCGTGATTCCTACAATTCTTTGTTTTGCGAGTCTTGTCAGTTAGGCAAACATGTGCGTCTCCCCTTTAGCTACTCTAGCTCTTCTAGTACTTATCCTTTTGAATTAATACATTGTGATTTGTGGGCATCACTTGTTGCAAGTATTTCTGATTTTAAATACTATCTTGTCATGCTAGACCATTTTACTCACTTTGTATGGACCTTTCGTCTCGCAACAAATCCGATGTTTACCCTCTTTTTCTACATTTTCAACGTTATGTTTCTGTCCACGTCTTCCTCCCTATTCGTTTCATTCAGTGTGACAACGGCCGTGAGTTTGACAACATTCAAAATCGTACCTTCTTTTTAAAACATGGCACCTTTCTTCGATTATCTTGTCCCTACACTTCTCCTCAAAACGGTAAAGCCAAGTGTTATCTTCGCACCATCAATGACATTGTTCGTACACTTCTCGTTCAGTCCCCCATGCCATAAAAATCCTGGGTAGAAGCTCTCCACACGGCCACCTTTCTTCTCAATATTCACCCCTCCAAAACCAATCCAAATATCACCCCCTATTACTCTCTTTTCCTTTGCCATCCCAATTACTCCGAGGTACGTGTTTTTGGTTGTCTTTGCTTTCCAAATGCCTATGCCACCTCTGAAAACAAACTTTCTCCATGATCTATCCCATGTGCCTTCTTGGTTTTTTCCAACGAACACAAAGGTTACCGTTGTCTTGGCTTACACACTGGACGGGTACACGTGTCTCGCCACGTTACATTCGCCGAACATCACTACTAGGGAAAAGCCTGGTAGTAGCATGGGGACCCACGCTACTGAGATGGCGCTAGCAGTAGCGCGTTTTGACACGCGATATTGCTATTCGTACTTAGCAGTAGCACTTTCCATACCAGCGCTACTGCTAAGTACCTTAGCAGTAGCGTTTTCGTGTCCAGCATTAAAGAGCGCTACTACTATATTTTCACATATCTTTTGTTTTTGCTACGTATTTGTAATGTTTTTTATATGTTTTATATAGTATTCTAATCATATCATACACATGTAATATGCTCATCATATCATACACATAATAGTCTCATCATATCTTCCAACACAAATCATGTCGTCACATCATAATCATGATATAGCTATACAAGTTACATGACATGTCTCATCATACATAATATAGCACTTCTTGAGGCGCCAGTTCGTATCCCTCTCTCGCACTAGCGTGGACCTCAACTAACTATTTTTCGCTTCGGCTCTACTACCGAACCCTCTTTGGCTGTCGCTCGGAAACCGGTACACCTGGACCTGTCACTCCGGCCACTCGTCACTCGTCTATTGAAACACTCTTTTTGACCGGCTGATCAAAGCAGCTGCCTCGTCTGATCGGTGTCACTCTTATATTGTGCTATTCACGCTGCTTTCACTTGGCTAAACAAGAGCAGTTGGGTAATGCAATCGGCGTGGTAGCTAGCGACTGCCCGTTGCCAACAGTCCATATATACTGGAGTACTTGATCCATAAGAGATGGACCGACCCACCCAGCAGCCATGGCAGCGTTCCTCCTATTCCTCTTACTCGCTCTCGCCGCCAGCAACAGCGAGCACGGAGGAGCAGTTGCTGCCGCCGCCGACCCACCTGCCGCCCTTACCATCCTGACACTGCGCGGTAGCCCCGAAAAGACCTCCCTGGCCGTGCAGACCCACGACCTCTCCCTCGCCGGCTTCACCGACGAGAGCCTCCACTGGCACGCCTTCCCAGGCCACGAGCATCTCATCCCCACGTCCAAGCCCCTCCCGTTCGGCAGCAGCTACAGCGAGCTCATCGGCGGCCTCGCCAACCTGCCAGGCCTGCCGCTTGGGCGGGACGCCATGGTGCAGGCCGTCCGTGTCCTCTCCGCCTATGACCCCGCTGCCGACGTCGAGCCGGTCAAGCGGGCTCTGGCGGCCGTGAAGGTGATGATCTGCGAGTCCGGGCGGCTGAAGCCCGTCAGAGAGGCCGTCAGAAGCGGATGGGACAGCGAGTCCCGCGTCGCCCCCGAGCATCTGCCCTACATCGAGCACTGGGACACCATGTCCTACGAGATCATCCGCGCCAACCGCACGGGCAAATGGGAAGACGGGCCCTTCACCAAGATGCTGGAGACCCAGGCCAACATCCGCAGCAAGGAGGAGGCGGTGGCGGTGATGAACGTGCTGATGGATGCGGACTTCGAGCAAGTGCTCAAGGCGCACGCCATCCCGATCAACTTACAGTAAACGTGCATGCGTGCTTGCTTGCAGCTCGTTTTGGACTTTCTTTAGGTCTATCTCCGCCTCCGGTCGATATTTCTTTCGTGTCCGTCTAGTTTGTTAGTTTGTTGGTCATCTAGCTGGTTGGAACACGTAGGCTTTCAGCTTTGCTTGCTTCCTTGTGCTAGCTGTTTCAGGCTTTCAGCCCCGACGTCTCAGATAATTTAGTCAATTCTACTCAGAAAGAAAAAGCTAAAACTTTGGCATCCATAGACAATCTGCAGTCCATTTATTATAGAGAAAAACATATTTTTTGTCATTGAACTCTGTTTAAAGTGTAGAAATTATCCATCAACTCCAAAACCGGTAAATCTTAGAGCGTCTCTATCAGATGCCATAAACATAATTCCTCTCAAACCTTCTCCCAATCTCAAAAAGTCAAATATTTGGGGTGATTAAACTTTTGCTCGGCTAGAGGATGCCCTAACTTAATACCCTAAAAGAATCAACTACATTTTTTATTATAAACAAACGTATTTCAAACACTCATTTAAACAACTTAATTTCATTATTCGACAACGCTTTCTCATTAGCATCATACATAACATCAGTAACAGTCCATTCCTACTATGTTTGCCTCATACATAGCATAATTTCAAATACATAGCTTAAGTCAAGAATATTTTTCTAATACATGTCTAGCAGTTTCTAAATACAGGATTAACATTTTTTTAAATATATATTGTGATTTCTACAGTTCTCTTACACATTGTACATTTCTGGTAAACATCAAAAATATTTTTTATACAACCTTAACATTTTTCATATCCTTGATTACCATTTCCCAAATATTGTTTTTTATACCCCTAAAAAAATTTTGATGTCTACTTTTTTTTGTACAAATCGTACATTTTTCTTAAACACCGGAAACATTTTTTTCATACATGTTGAACATTTTTGCGAATTACACAAACATTTTTGTACTCTGTATAAGAATGTTTTCAAAAACTATCCATGTACAGGTTTTGGAAAACACGTGAAAATTTTCTAAATGTTACAAACATTTTACATATATGTCAGGAACATTTTTTTAATACATGTTTAACATTTTCAGATATGTGACCGACATGATTTTTTAATTATATGTTTTGATATCTATTGTTTTCGTACACATTGTCCATTTTTGGTCTACATCTAAAAATTGGTTTTTATCTATTTTTATACAATTTTAACATTTTTCATACACATGATTAAATTTTTGAAAATTTAATTTCCGAATGAGGCTGGTTTCATGCCTCTGCTGTGACCTCTTCACGTCCTCATGTTGAAGTGGATAGCGTTTTCTATGTTTATCTGTAGAGCCAAATTGATTTAGGCTGATTACGACATGCTAGATATTCCTGCCACATTTGTTCAAAAATACTTTTTGCTAGGCATACACATATTCCTTCACGTTCAAAAATTGATTCCTACACACATACACACACAAAAATGTCACAGTTCAAAACTAAATTCATTTCTTTTTGCCAGTCTGAATTTAATTTCCTTCTAGTCACTAGTGGTTGAGTGTGAAGTTTTGTTCTCACGATAGCTGAGTAATTGGTGATTTGAAACTACTCTAAAAAAAATCTCGGTTCCGCAGGTTCTTTTCAAATTTTCCACTGATTTCTACCCTTCTAAAATACATGGCGTATAGTGCTATCAAAGGATCGTTTTAAAAAAATGTACCACATATTTCGAATCGAGGGAGTATGTCACTATTGCTAGCTGGGCGTTAATTGACCATCAAGTTGGCTACTGGACATGCGATGTTGCCCCAATTGTACACTTCTACCATTACATTTGCACACATATTATTTGTGCAACTGTGTTCTAAATAATACCTACTCAAGCAAAAAATAAATATAGACACAATACAAGTTTAGAGGACTAAAATTCCATAAAACCTAAAAACCTCAAATTTCTACACGCCAAAATTTGAAAACAAATTTACATGTCAAAAAAGAAATTTTCTGTAATCATTTTTCTAATTACAACCTCACATTTGATTCCCTTAAGTTTCACAACAACAAGATTTCAACTTTAGTTTATGAAACTTACAACTAGAAATAAAATTATTTTGTGACTCAGATTATAATAATGTGAATTCATATATAATCTGCGAAAAGACTAACCATAAACCAAACTTAATCCGAATTTATTGAAAATAATTCTGGAAAAGTTTCTTATTTGCTTGCTGGACATTTGCTCAATCTTAGTTGCAGAAAAGAAAATGTTCAATTTTAGTGTATTGGAAAAATGTGTAACTATATATACAAATTATTTCAAATATGAAATATTTGTTAAGTAATATAAAAAGTATTGGATAAGTTAAAAAAATCATAGACTAACACAGCACATGCAGTCACGCATGCATGTGCACAGCGGCTAAACCTCAAATTATATTGAAGTGTTGAAGGACCCTCCAAGTTCATTAACTTGTTTGTATCATTTTTCAAAAAGAATGTCTTGGGTTTTCAAGGAATCTTGATCTGCAGAAGTCCAACAAAACACATCCCAAAAACAAATGAAGCCCACGGGTAAGAACCACACACATGTAAAAGAAAAAGAAAGACTTAGGAAAAGGATTAAAATTTATTGAAAACTGTTTTTTTCTAAAAGGTCAACAATCATAAGCAACGGCAACAAAAACAAGTTAACTAGATTTCGATACCCATGTGCACATTTCTAACATTGGACTTGCACATATATAATTTGTGCAACTGTGGTCTGAATTTTGTCGAAGTTGTACACTGAAATATATATCGTAGAAAAACACGAAACAAATTGAAGTCCTACAATAGGTGCTACTACTTTCAGAAAAAAAATTCAATCTTCATGAGAACAATATAAACAAGAGAGAAAATATCAACATCGCAAAAGGATTTAGCAGCTAGAATTGCACATATAAATGGAATAAATAAAGATGTATGAGGATATGAACGGATCACCATGTATACGACTGTATGTAGCAGAGTAAGCTGATACACGCATATGAATGGTTGGATATGCAAAACAACTACAAGACAACTAAATTTTTAGTTAAGGGAAACAAAAATAATAATAACAAGAATAAAGATTTACTCAGTTGCATTGTTGACAATAAAGGTCTGTTGTATTATTTGCGCAACCCTTCTGTAAGAAATGTGCAACTGATCCAGTAAAAAAAATTGTATAGCTTAATCGTAAAATCTCAATCTATATATTTATGCCACACAAGGAAAACTATTGATGCTCATCACTTGCACATACTATTTCTGAAAGAAAAAAAAATATCCTCAACACTGCTTACACATAAATACGTGCCTTTAAGTCCCACAATCACATTATTGTGTACAAACGACACATGACTTGAAATCCAGTAGTTGTATGATAATGACCACATACAATTGCAACCGGTCAAGCAGCCAGTTGTATTAGTTCTCCCAGCGATGAACAATCAATAGGCCACTTCAACGTTGGCAAACTCCTCACTCTTCTGGGTCATGTCAGCTACCATCTCACCGAACCTGCACGGAGGGCTGACCACTGACATCGTGCCACGCTTGTACTGTCCATCCTACTACACTTGCTGCAAAGTCCATTGGCTTGCATGTCCTTGGATTTCTACTCCCTCCGTTCCTAAATATTTGTCCTTTTAGAGATTTCAAATGAACTACCACATACGGATGTATATAGACAATTTTTAAAGTGTAGATTCACTCATTTTGCTTCGTACATAGTCATTTGTTGAACTCTCTAGAAAGACAAATATTTAGGAACGGAGGGAGTATGTGATAATGATAGAGTTCACGACATCGTCGTTGGGATGGCGCACGACCAGTACCTCAAACTCGCCTCGGCCAATATCCACGGTGTCCAAAATCGGGTATAGGAACCATGCGTGCTCCATGAGCACCGTGCACAACAAGGGTTACCCTGTCTGCCATGTGCGCCCCGAGGAGCACGACCACCTTCACCATGTCCTCGGCGTCCATGTCGACGAGTGTGTCCAGGAGTACAACATCATATGCGGCGAGCTCGCGGGCAAGGTTGCTATGTCGGCCATGTGGAAGGACATGCACATTCCCACATCCGAGTCCACGCAGAACAATTTATCGGCACGGTCGTCGGGCACGTCAAAAAGGTCGTCTATTTCAAACATGGTGTAAGGCAGGTAGCGTGTGACGAGGAGAAAGGAGCTAAACACAAACGGACCATAGCCGATGAAGGCTAAGCGGGAAGGGGAGATGCCACAAGGAACGTGGAGCACCAAAAGCTCAAACTCGAGCTTCTTGAGGTTGATGTAGTTGTTGGTACCAGGGTAACAAGCCATGGTGGCCCAGCAGGCACTACTAGAAAAAGGCCTGTTAGTGGCGCACCTATTTTGGCTATTAATGGCGCACTATAGGTGCGTCACTATTAGCACGCCACTAGTAACAAATACTAATGGCGCACCTCTGGTGCGCCATTAGTATTGCAGGTAACACTGGCGCACCGTGTAGTGCGCCATTACTATTGCTACAGGTGCGCCACTAGTAATTTTTTTTGAATTTTTTCGATTTTTTTCTGAATTTTGAAGGCGGGAAAATAGTAGTGGCGCACCGTCTAACCCCCACCATGCGCCATTGCTATTTTTGAATTTTGAATTTGGATCTGGATCGCGATTTTTTTGCCCTTTAGGAGGAGCTCACCGGAGAGGAGGGAGGAGGACATCACCGGAGAGGAGGGAGGAGGAGCTCACCGGAGAGGAGGGAGGAGGAGATCACCGGACAGGAGGGAGGAGAAACCATGAGGGGAGGGGAGGAGAGGAGGGAGGAGGAGGTCGCCGGAGAGGAGGAGGAGGAGGAGGTCGCCGGAGAGGAGGAGGGGAGTATGGTGGAAGAGAAGAGGGGAGATGGAGTGGAAGAGAGGAGGAGATGGAGTGAAGGAGAGGAGGAGATGGAGCGAAGGAGAGGATCCCTCCCAGCCATATATACGACATAGTAATGGCGCACCGTGGGCAGGTG